TTTAGCTTTTGGGATCTGGTTGCGGTTCTAGTTCTTATACCCAATCATAAACACGAGATCAAGTCATATTTGACTCCAAAAACACTAACCAAGCTTCTTATTGTTTCTCAAATCTTTGTAGGGTATGGCCGAACTCCTATGAGTTTTCGGTTTTGGAGCTTCTAAACGGTAAAACCCTACTTTAGCTTTTGGGATCCGGTTGCGGTTCTAGTTCTTATACCCAATCATAAACACGAGATCAAGTCATATTTGACTCCAAAAACACTAACCAAGCTTCTTATTGCTTCTCAAATCTTTGTGGGTTTGGCCGAACTCCTATGAGTTTTCGGTTTTGGAGCTTCTAAACGGAAAAGCACTAGTTTAGCTTTTGGGATCCGGTTGCGGTTCTAGTTCTTATACCCAATCATAAACACGAGATCTAGTCATATTTGACTCCAAAAACACTAACCAAGCTTCTTATTGCTTCTCAAATCTTTGTGGGTGTGGCCGAAGTCCTATGAGTTTTCGGTTTTGGAGCTTCTAAACGGAAAAACACTACTTTAGCTCTTGGGATCCGGTTGCGGGTTCTAGTTCTTATACCCAATCATAAATACGAGATCTACTCATTTTTGACTCCAAAAACACTAACCAAGCTTCTTATTGCTTCTCAAATCTCTGTGGGTATGGCCGAACTCCTATGAGTTTTCGGTTTTGGAGCTTCTAAACGGAAAAACACTACTTTAGCTTTTGGGATCCGGTTGCGGTTCTAGTTCTTATACCCAATCAGAAACACGAGATCTAGTCATATTTGACTCCAAAAACACTAACAAAGCTTCTTATTGCTTCTCAAATCTTTGTGGGTATGGCCGAACTCCTATTAGTTTTCGGTTTTGGAGCTTCTAAACTGAAAAACCCTACTTTTGCTTTTGGGATCTGGTTGCGGTTCTAGTTCTTATACCCAATCATAAACACGAGATCAAGTCATATTTGACTCCAAAAACACTAACCAAGCTTCTTATTGTTTCTCAAATCTTTGTAGGTATGGCCGAACTCCTATGAGTTTTCGGTTTTGGAGCTTCTAAACGGAAAAAACCCTACTTTAGCTTTTGGGATCCGGTTGCGGTTCTAGTTCTTATACCCAATCATAAACACGAGATCAAGTCATATTTGACTCCAAAAACACTAACCAAGCTTCTTATTGCTTCTCAAATCTTTGTGGGTTTGTGCCGAACTCCTATGAGTTTTCGGTTTTGGAGATTCTAAACGGAAAAGCACTAGTTTAGCTTTTGGGATCCGGTTGCGGTTCTAGTTCTTATACCCAATCATAAACACGAGATCTAGTCATATTTGACTCCAAAAACACTAACCAAGCTTCTTATTGCTTCTCAAATCTTTGTGGGTGTGGCCGAAGTCCTATGAGTTTTCGGTTTTGGAGCTTCTAAACGGAAAAGCACTAGTTTAGCTTTTGGGATCCGGTTGCGGTTCTAGTTCTTATACCCAATCATAAACACGAGATCTAGTCATATTTGACTCCAAAAACACTAACCAAGCTTCTTATTGCTTCTCAAATCTTTGTGGGTGTGGCCGAAGTCCTATGAGTTTTCGGTTTTGGAGCTTCTAAACGGAAAAACACTACTTTAGCTCTTGGGATCCGGTTGCGGTTCTAGTTCTTATACCCAATCATAAATACGAGATCTACTCATTTTTGACTCCAAAAACACTAACCAAGCTTCTTATTGCTTCTCAAATCTCTATGGGTATGGCCGAACTCCTATGAGTTTTCGGTTTTGGAGCTTCTAAACGGAAAAACACTACTTTAGCTTTTGGGATCCGGTTGCGGTTCTAGTTCTTATACCCAATCAGAAACACGAGATCTAGTCATATTTGACTCCAAAAACACTAACAAAGCTTCTTATTGCTTCTCAAATCTTTGTGGGTATGGCCGAACTCCTATTAGTTTTCGGTTTTGGAGCTTCTAAACTGAAAAACCCTACTTTAGCTTTTGGGATCTGGTTGCGGTTCTAGTTCTTATACCCAATTATAAACACGAGATCAAGTCATATTTGACTCCAAAAACACTAACCAAGCTTCTTATTGTTTCTCAAATCTTTGTAGGTATGGCCGAACTCCTATCAGTTTTCGGTTTTGGAGCTTCTAAACGGAAAAACCCTACTTTAACTTTTGGGATCCGGTTGCGGTTCTAGTTCTTATACCCAATCATAAACACGAGATCAAGTCATATTTGACTCCAAAAACACTAATCAAGCTTCTTATTGCTTCTCAAATCTTTGTGGGTTTGGCCGAACTCCTATGAGTTTTCGATTTTGGAGATTCTAAACGAAAAACCCTACTTTAGCTTTTGGGATCCTTTTGCGGTTCTAGTTCTTATACCCAATCATAAACACGAGATCAAGTCATATTTGACTCCAAAAACACTAACCAAGCTTCTTATTGCTTCTCAAATCTTTGTGGGTATGGCCGAACTCCTATTAGTTTTTGGTTTTGGAGCTTCTAAACTGAAAAACCCTACTTTAGCTTTTGGGATCTGGTTGCGGTTCTAGTTCTTATACCCAATCATAAACACGAGATCAAGTCATATTTGACTCCAAAAACACTAACCTAGCTTCTTATTGTTTCTCAAATCTTTGTAGGTATGGCCGAACTCCTATGAGTTTTCGGTTTTGGAGCTTCTAAACGGAAAAACCCTACTTTAGCTTTTGGGATCCGGTTGCGGTTCTAGTTCTTATACCCAATCATAAACACGAGATCAAGTCATATTTGACTCCAAAAACACTAACCAAGCTTCTTATTGCTTCTCAAATCTTTGTGGGTTTGGCCGAACTCCTATGAGTTTTCGGTTTTGGAGCTTCTAAACGGAAAAGCACTAGTTTAGCTTTTGGGATCCGGTTGCGGTTCTAGTTCTTATACCCAATCATAAACACGAGATTTAGTCATATTTGACTCCAAAAACACTAACCAAGCTTCTTATTGCTTCTCAAATCTTTGTGGGTGTGGCCGAAGTCCTATGAGTTTTCGGTTTTGGAGCTTCTAAACGGAAAAACACTACTTTAGCTCTTGGGATCCGGTTGCGGTTCTAGTTCTTATACCCAATCATAAATACGAGATCTACTCATTTTTGACTCCAAAAACACTAACCAAGCTTCTTATTGCTTCTCAAATCTCTGTGGGTATGGCCGAACTCCTATGAGTTTTCGGTTTTGGAGCTTCTAAATGGAAAAACACTACTTTAGCTTTTGGGATCCGGTTGCGGTTCTAGTTCTTATACCCAATCATAAACACGAGATCTAGTCATATTTGACTCCAAAAACACTAACCAAGCTTCTTATTGCTTCTCAAATCTTTGTGGGTGTGGCCGAAGTCCTATGAGTTTTCGGTTTTGGAGCTTCTAAACGGAAAAGCACTAGTTTAGCTTTTGGGATCCGGTTGCGGTTCTAGTTCTTATACCCAATCGTAAACACGAGATCTAGTCATATTTGACTCCAAAAACACTAATCAAGCTTCGTATTGCTTGTCAAATCTTTGTGGGTGTGGCTGAAGTCCTATGAGTTTTCGGTTTTGGAGCTTCTAAACGGAAAAGCACTAGTTTAGCTTTTGGGATCCGGTTGCGGTTCTAGTTCTTATACCCAATCATAAACACGAGATCAAGTCATATTTGACTCCAAAAACACTAACAAAGCTTCTTATTGCTTCTCAAGACTTTGTGAGTATGGCCGAACTCCTATGAGTTTTCGGTTTTGGAGCTTCTAAACGGAAAAACCCTACTTTAGCTTTTGGGATCCTGTTGCGGTTCTAGTTCTTATACCCAATCATAAACACGAGATCAAGTCATATTTGACTCCAAAAACACTAACAAAGCTTCTTATTGCTTCTCAAATCTTTGTGGGTATGGCCGAACTCCTATGAGTTTTCGGTTTTGGAGTTTCTAAACGGAAAAACACTACTTTAGCTTTTGGGATCCGGTTGCTGTTCTAGTTCTTATACCCAATCATAAACACGAGATCTAGTCATATTTGACTCCAAAAACACTAACCAGGCTTCTTATTGCTTCTCAAATCTTTGTGGGTGTGGCCGAAGTCCTATGAGTTTTCTGTTTTGGAGCTTCTAAACAGAAAACACTACTTTAGCTTTTGGGATCCGGTTCCAGTTCTAGTTCTTATAGCCATCATAAACACGAGATCTAGTCATATTTGACTCCAAAAACACTAACCAAGCTTCTTATTGCTTCTCAAATCTTTGTGGGTGTGGCCGAAGTCCTATGAGTTTTCGGTTTTGGAGCTTCTAAACGGAAAAGCACTAGTTTAGGTTTTGGGATCCTGTTGCGGTTCTAGTTCTTATACCCAATCGTAAACACGAGATCTAGTCATATTTGACTCCAAAAACACTAATCAAGCTTCGTATTGCTTGTCAAATCTTTGTGGGTGTGGCTGAAGTCCTATGAGTTTTCGGTTTTGGAGCTTCTAAACGGAAAAGCACTAGTTTAGCTTTTGGGATCCGG